TCCCCTTCCCCCCCTCCCCACCTCTCTTCTCCCCCCCTTTTCCTTCTTTGTCTTGTTAAGTTCACCAGGCCGTGGTTGAAGTTGTGATCCTCCTGCCTCAGCCTCCCAGAGTGCTGAGATTATAGGCATAACGCCACACCAGGCTGAGAAACCCATTTTAGGACATTTAGGGATGAGAGAATGTTAGTGGGTACCTGCCTCCTACAGGTACTCAGTAACCAGGGGCCTCCTTACAAAGAAGGCATCGGGGAGAGCTGTCCATGTTTCTAGGTAGGCAGAGGATTTGGAGCAAAATGAGACCTTGGTGATACAAGGAGCCTTGACGGGAGAAGAATTTTCCAGAATGTCCTGTCGATAACCAGTATATCGAGCAGGGCTCTCTCTGGTTTATCATGCATCACATTTCTTGACCTCTCCACTAGCTTTTCCTTGCTTCTACCTCATCTCTCTTAAAGGAGCAGCTCCCTGAAAATTTCAAGTTCTCATGTTGCTGGACAGACAGGTCTTTTTACAGCTGTTGGCACGCGCATTGGCTGAAAGCCTATAACAGGCCTTCACCTATTTTATCCTGTTGGATATTCCCAACAATCCCATACGGAAGTGGTATTACTTAGTTTATCAATGAGAAAACTGAGGCTAGGTCACTTGCACAAAGCCACACGGCCAGAAGTGGCAAAGCTAGGGTTTAAATTCAGAATCATCTCTACATCTCTTGTTCACAGTGACAAACTGTCTGAAGTCAAATTCCAGCTTCTCCTTGCTGACCCAGCGGAGTGCGGCAGGCACAATCCAGGGCCAGGCTGTTAAACTGGATTTGCTCTTGACTTGCTGTGTGACTTTACCCCAAATCTTAACCTTTCTGAGCCTGGTATTTCTGTTTCATATGTGGAAAGGAACGATGGACAACAGCTATTCCCTCAAGTCCTCGAGACCTTGTGCGGACACATGAGGAGACACAGGTCAAGTATTATGAGCTCCTCAGAGGAAAATTCTCATATCAGTTCAAAGTAGCATTTATAGTTGAATCAAACTCCAGCTGTCAACAAATGTTGCCAGCCAGCCGGCATAAAAGATGTAGAATTTGAGTAAAAACTAAAGCCTGTGTTATGTCAAAGGCCCTTGTTTCCCTCCCTCGTCAGAGAACCTCCTATGATTGCTCACATGTATATTCTTGCAGGTGTCACTCTGGAGACCAGCATTTATTATCGAACCTCCCCCTGATAAAAGGTCCTCAGTATTTTAGTTTTTCTGCCTCTGTCCCCCAAAGCCCCAAGCCAAGTGCTGCCAAAGGTTGCTGAATGACCATTTGATTAATCAGTAACGAGGTCTGGAGCCGGTGGGATATTTTGCCCCAAATGGAATTAAAATGTGTCACACACTGCCCTGAACTTGTAGCTCCCCCTCCCCCAAGTGTCGTGGCAGGGCCGGCCGAGGAGGCTGTACAGAATACTTACTACACCCCTGGCCGACAGGAAGCTGAGCATCTGGAGAGGCTGGCTGGGTGAGTGGCTGGACCGGGCCTCGGGGCTGGCCTTGCTGAGGGTCTTGGAGCAGCGGCGGGTGTGCCTTTGGTGGGACTTCCGCCCTTCCTCAGGGGACCGACCTCGGTGCCTGGAGGCAGAGGAGAGAGACCTTGAGGGTCTATTGAAGGTGAGCAGGACAGAGAGAGGATTGAGGGACGAACCTGTCATCCGAAGACGATGATGTGTTTGGGCAGGCTGGTACTTGTTCGTGTGATTTAGTCCTAGATGGTCTGAATGTGTGTGCGTGACAATGGGACTATATATATCTTCCCATTCACCTATTCATGCACCCACCTCCCCACTTCGTCCACCCCTCCCTCCCTTCCTCTGCCCACTCATTCATCCACCCACCCATTCATTGATCCTTACACTCACCCACCTCCAAACTCATTCATTCATCTCTTTATCCGTCTGTCTACTCATCCCTCCAATCCTCCTTCATTATCTCATTTGATTGTTTGATAGCTGCTTATTCTCACACCTGACACTATTTTGGGGGAATGAAGTTCCTCCGTAAGTACAGCAAAGCTCCTTTTCTGATTCCTTCGTGGCCCTGTGTGATTTTCTGCCGTGTGACCATCTGTATGTCTGGGCATGTCTGTCCGTGTTTCCATGAGTTCTGCTGTAGACATAACTGTATATCCATGTGCCTTTGTGTATATAAATTTGCTTTCTGTAAAATGGAGGCATCTTATTGAATGTCACCCCAAATAGTGGGGGAAAGTGACTGGACAAAAAGATAGAAATAGCTTCAGAAAGCTTGTTATGTTTAGATCTGGCTGCCTTGTCCACACTGAAACTGGAGGTGTGCTTGACCCTTAGAAATGGGCACACTTGATGCGTGTCCCATCAACTCTCTGAGACACAGTAGAAAATAGAGATAGCATCGTATGGATCTGGTCGGCACCTAGAAGTCGCTTAAGTAATTTCACAGTCCTCTCTACACTGTGAAGACGTAGGCAGATCAGGTACGACTTTCCCAATTTGCAGATGATTGAGCTGAGAGGTCAGAGGCATTTAGGGTCCTGCCTGAAGTCACACAGCTTAGAAATAGCAGGGCCAGCGTGTTTTCTGCACCCATAGGAATGAGCTAGTTTCTCAGGTTCTCACTCTGGACTGGCCTCGTCCAGATCACTTTTCTACTGGGTATATGTCCCACGTGCTGGCTTTCAGTCGGCTCTCAGGACTTCCGGAGAGTGTTTTGGCCCAGCAGTACACTCGGAACCTCAGGGGGCAGCACCACCAGGAGACAGGACAGCAGCAGGGTGCCTAGTGCTCGGGTCTGCAATGTTAACCACTTCTCTAGCAGGGAAGGTGCTGGGTCCCTGTATAACTCTCTGGTCTAGGCCAGGAGGGCTTAGCCAGGAAGAGCAGTTTGGCCCAGAGTAGAGATGGAGTAATCAGAATGAGTCACTCAGAACCGTGTACTTGTCCCAACGACCTCACTGTGGGACCCCACTTGCATCTCTTGCCCATCAAGAGGCAGTTTTCTCAGCTATGACTCATCAGTGATGTGGTTTAAGTCAGTGGACCAAAGCCCTTGAAAGAAAAGCCACCGGGAGCCCGTGTCTGAATAAACCTTGCTGCGAAGGGTACTGCGCAGCACAGGGGAATGTAAGATGTCTTGTAAGAGGACGTTAGGATGAGCCTACCATAGCCTGTGCCCCGTACTAGGTGGTTTGGAAGAGCCATGAAGGGACTAGGGCTCTATCCTGGATTAGATGCTTGAACAAAGCAGAGTAATTCAATGGCTGGGCACCTCATCCATCTTGTCTAGAAAGAGGACTGGCCCAATGCCAATGACATAACTGCCAAAGAAGTAGGAGCCACTCAAACTAGCTGGATAGACAGGCATTTGGACACTGCTGTGTTGGGACAAAGTTCTAGTTTCAGCTGGGAACAGACCTGACCACAGAGGAGTCCTCTTTTCTCTTGCCCTCCGTCAGGGGCACAGCACAGCATCGTCTGATGTGATGTTGGCCAACAACGCCCAGCAGGAACAGTGAGGTCGGCACGTAAGAGTGGCTGTCAGGGGCTGCTGTGTCCACTGCTTCCCACATGGGACTACGTGCTTATGGTGTCTCGGGTGATTTACACACATCCCTGCCCTGACACCACTCTGCGTGAATTATAGGTGGGTTCGCTAACACTGGGACGTAGGCCTTGCCATTAAAAAAAAAAAAAACTCCCAAGGTGATTGAAAAGTGCAGTGGAAGTAGAAAAGCACTGTCTAGTTTATGGGGTCACTTGGATGATTAAGAAAGAAAAAGTCTTTGGAACTGTAGCGCAATGCCTGGCGCAGAGCAGGGTTTGAGTGAACCTCTCTCCTCTCGCTCCTCCTCCTCCTCCTCCTCCTCCCGCCCCTCCCCTTCCCTCCCCACCTCTTCCTGTCTGTCCTCTTCTGTCTCTTACTCCTCCCCTCCTTCTTTTCTCCTCCTCCTTCCTGCCTCCTGCTCTTCCTTCTCCTTCTCCTCCTCCTCCTCCTCCTTCTCCTTCCTCTTCCTCTTTCGCCTCCTGTGTTCTCCCTGTCACGCTCCCGTTTCTCTCTTCTCTTTCTAGCTGATTTCACCGGTGTGAGGCGGGACCCAGGTACCAAGATTTGAAAGCCTCCCCAGGTGTTGTGAACATGTGGTCAGAGTACGAGAAGCCCTTGAGGAGGAGAAAAGCAGCCCCTGGCATTGGGATGCGGACTTGGGGTCCCTGCCGGGCCTCAGCGATCTCAGACTTCCACAGCATCAGAACCCTACGTCCTCCTTCTTATTCTTGCCCTTCTCCCTTTTCTTCTCTTGCTCCTTGCTTTCTCATCCGTGGAGAACTCCTCTCCCTTCTCAGGCTGGGACAGTCATTTCAGCATAGAGACAGCCCGAGTCAGGAGGAAGGTGACTCGGGAGGACTTTATAACTTGGTACCTTTTTGTTCTTGTTGTTGGTTGAGACAGGGTCTCACTATGTAGTTGAGACTGACCTGGAACTCACTATGTAGCCCTGGCTGGTCTCGAACTCACAGCGATCCTCCTGCCTCAGCCTCCTGAGTGTTGGGATTACAGGCGTGCGCCACCACGCCCAGCTTAACTTGGTACTTTGTGCTGTGAGACCTTTCATTGGCGGCTCAGAGCATCCCTTAGCGAAAAACTCTTTTTTTGTCAACACCTGCTGTGTCACTTAGTGCTAAATGATGAACAAGTCTCTCATCTTGTACCTTGTCCTTGTAAGTCTCTGTGCCCACAAAGAGGCAGTTTTCTCAGCTGTGACTCTGTGTCAGTGATGCATCTCAGTTTCCTCCTCTTTACAAAGGGAGTAACAATACTACCTGCTTCAGTGGGGGTGCAGAGAGGACCTCGTGAGTCCATATACGAAGTGTTACATCGCAGGCACTTAAAGAGCGTGTGTGTGGGTCTCCCAGGGCTGTGCGCCCCGCCACTGAGGCGGCCTCCCCACCCCACCTGGTCTGCACTGCAGCCCCTTCTGTGAGGAAGTGGAGTCGTTGTTGAGGGCAGGGCAGGGGCACACCTGAGCACAGCCTGGTCTCAGGGCACAAATGGGATGACCGGGCTCCACCGGGCAAGGGGTTACCTGGTCTCATTGCTGGAGGAGCGAGACTCTGAGCTCTGGGACCGAGAGGGACAGCGGTGGTGATGGCGGTGGCGGTGAGACTTTCGGGGCCGGCTTCGGGATCTTGGGGGATGCAGTAGGGAGGTGAGCGGGGAGGGAGAGAAAGGGGGAGAGAGAGAAACTGATCTTACGACACACATCCGTTTTCTGCTCAAGGAGTCGCAGTCCCTCCCATAGGTCTGTGAACTTGCTTTGCATCACCCCAGCTTCCCGGGTGTACAGGGGCCTCCACCCAGCAGTAGGGGAACACAGCAGAACAGAAAAGAGCCCTCTGGAGGGGATGTGGATGACTCAGGGCCCGCCCCGCTCCCAAACTGCAAGCAGAACTAGTACAGCTCATACCCTAGGCAAAAAGCCACTCCCTGCCCCGCGCACCTGCCCCTCAGCTAACGCGGTGGTCTCCATTCTACACAGCTTCAGGGACCAGTCAGGTACCCGGCATGTGGGACTCAACCAGGCACTAAGTAAATCACCAGCCCAGGGCCTGGGGTGAAATAGAAGGGGCCGCTTTGCCTCCAGAAGAGTGGTATGCTGGATGTTTGAATTTTTCAAGCAAATGTGAAAACATAGATATTTTTAATGTAAAATATGCCTATTTTAAATGGAAACTCATTTTTTTGTGGAAAGAAAAAAATACATTTTGGGGAAAGCGAAACACAATTTGCAGAGTAAATTAGGCCTTTGGGCTGCCCATTTTTAACCTCAGACCTGGAAAGAGAGTCCAGATCCTTAGCGGGGAGTAGCGGAGTAGAAACCCTTTCAGGATGGGCTATACACATAATATCAGCGATTACTACCATCACCACTGTAATGGTATTAGTACAGGTTACATCGGCTACGTCTAAGCACTGGTCACAGTCTGGAATCAGGGCTGGTGGTGGTAGAGGTGGGTAAGGATGCACAAATCGTGTCAATGGACTGGGAAGCCAGTAGTACTCAGAGGTGACTGGACGGAGAGGCAGTCTGCTTATCTCAAGCAAGGACACAGACTCCTCTCACGTCATCGTCGGGCCCTGTCTCTTCCCTGTGTAAAACATTCCCATTACCTTCACATCCAGGTCTAACTGTGACTTTGACACCGAAGCATTTTCAGGTGCTAACTCCCATCCAGCTCCCTGGCCACAAGTTCTGATGTTTTTGCTCTGGCCTAGCAGATGGCAGCAATCTGAGATGTGTAACTCTCTGCCCATATTCTGGCTAGTACATATCCCAGTTCGTGATGTCCTGGTGTCGGGGATGACGACAAGGACAGGTCGCCATACCTAACACCCACTTCCTGCCAGGCACTGCGCTCTAAGCGTTTTTCTTCCATCGACACTCTGATGCCTCACAGTGACTTACGGTGCAGCTTTTCTTGTTATCCCCAACTTACAGTTGAAGAAATGGGGACTTAGAGAGCTCCAACAACCTGCTTAAGCTAAAACAGCTACTCCCTTCCCGTCCTTGCCTGGACACTCCCTTCTGAAGTCCGGCCACGGGCTCCCCCTGCCACCCGTTCCCTATCTGTCCACTGCGAGCTCCTCTGGGCCTGGACAATGCCTCAGCTCTGAGCTGGGCCCAGCACAGGGTGCCACAGATTAAAGCCACACCAAGGGCTGTTGAATAAAAGGGAGCCGAGTCACTTCAGTGCTTAGAAGCAGCTGTGACCCTGGGCTTGGTGAAAATAAACTGTCATTTATCATAAGGGTGCTTTGCTTTCCTTGATATCTCTGTCTCTGTCTGTCTGTCTCTCTGTCTCTTTCTCTGGCTTGCATGAGATTTCTGAGGCTCTGTTCACTATTTCTGAGATGCATTTGCCCTTGGCACCAGAGAGGCTACCGTGCCTCCACCTGGTATGCTTGTGGCCGCCCGTCATGTAGTCTCACTGCACACGTAATTCTGGGATCTCTGAACACATGGGCTCTATCTGTGCTTAACATGAGAACACCCTTGATATAGATGGTGAACAGTTCTGACTGGTGTCGAAAAAGCCTGATTTGGGGAAGTTCTGCCCCAAGCGAACTAGTAGCTCTAGAGAGTACTTCCCAGGACTTCAGGGCAGCAGCCAAAATACCCTCCTTCACACTGACCTTGAGTGAAGAGACCTTTTGGGGAAGCCAGGCTGGGTGCACTCCCTCTGTGCTCCTGCCTCCTCTGTCCCCTCCCCGGCAACTGACTACCTTTCATTCTAGTATCTTTGATCCTCTCTTTAGAAGCTTTGGTGGGAGATAAAATATTAGTTGATTGGAAAACACGCACTAACATTTGCAGGGTATAAAATAGCTGGGTTGTAACCAAATTTACTTTTAATTTGGTTGGGAACTGAACTCCACAGGCAGCAGTGGCTGATTTGAATTTCTACTACCAGTTATCAACCTTGAAACAGCTGGGGCCTTGAGACTGGGGCGGGAGCTTTCCTGATAGCTCCTTACTGTAAACCAGGAGCCGCGGCATGGATGCACATACTTACTCACACACATGCACACACAGGATCAGAGCCCTGTAATCCATGCACACACAGCACACACACGTAAAAGCCACCACACATGGCCTGTGTGTGTTATGCACACAGATATAAAAACACATAAGCATTGTTCACACAGAGTGCACAGAATCCCTACACATTGGTCATGGTGCAGACCTCTCACCTACTGCTGAAACCAGGCACAGACACACAGATGCACTCACACCAACATGAGTAGTTACCACATATACACAATATATCCCCAGATTTTATGCATCTGTGCACACAACATACACAAATGTTTGCATGACAAGAAAATGTACAGGCAGACAATCACAAACAATGTGCACAGTGCGGATATACGTACTACACATAAATATATGTACACGGTTCACACACTGGGAACACATGCACACAGTATGGTCACATGCACTTATAAGTTCACATGCACACACAGCCACATCGTATCAGATACGCAGTCCGGTGCACTCATGCACAACACGCCCACGACTTCGAGTGCACGCACAGCTCCTCGTCCTCGTCCTCGTCCTCTTCCTCCTCCTCTTTCTTTCCCTTCCTAGTCCCTTTAAGTTATCTACCCCCTCCTCCCTTTCCCTATTTGGCAGCCACTACTCTGGTTGCTAGAAGCCAGGTCTCCCGATTCCCAAACTGAAGAGTGTATTCCAGGTGGTGCCTACTTACTGTTTCTTGTGCCTCTTCTCTTCCCTTCTTTTGCTTTTTGGGCTAGAGGAGCTAAATAAGAAATGTCCAATTAATTGAAAGGTGCGAAAACCACTCGAAAATGCAATTAAAGATAAAAATAAGTAGTTAAAATGCCGAACGCATAACAGCCCACTAGATCCAGGCAGCTTGGGGAAGGACACTGACCACTGCCCAAGACCAGAGAAGTGACTGCCAACTTTTTCATGCAGTCAGTGGGGTACTGACTCACACACGTATGCTGGGAACGGGGAGCCGAGGATGCCAAGCTCAGCTTTGGTAAGTTAGAAGTGACAGTGGCAACAAAGATACTAGTAGTAGCAATGCCTGCCACTGGCAGAGGCTCGATATGATAGGCTGGGCACTCTGCTACATACATACTTTAGATCAGCAAACTCATTCTGTTGTCCCCACAGAGATGTCATTTAATAAGGGTCCATTTTACAGATGCGGAAACAGCCTTGAATGGCTAAGACATTTGTCCAGGTCACAGAAGCAAGCTGGAAGGTGGCCCTAAATCATGGGTCCCCAGAGTCCATACTTTTGATTGCTGTTTAATTTGTAAGAGAAGAGAAATGCAGTACTCGTGGAACTTGGTAGATTCTGAAATGTTCTGCACATACATATTCAAATATTTAGGTTGATTTTTTTTTTTTTAAGAAAAATCAGAGCCAGTGAACTGGGCTGTGGATAGAATAGATGATGGGAACTCAAGGTCTCAGGTAATCAAATGAGGTCCAAGAAGGTGGATGCTATTTTGTTACTTCAAGCCAGACTGGCTACAGAGGGCCACTAGAACCCATCACTACAGAGGTCCTGGGAAGGGGAAGTCATTTTCGCCCAGCTGCATCAGGCCTGTAATCTGGCCACAGGAACTCTCTCCATGTTGAGATGCAACCTCAGCCACAGAACAGCCCAGGACTTTGCCCTAGGACCAGAGTCAAGTCCCAGCCCTGCTGCTTATTTGCTGCATGCACGGTGTCAGACAAGTTACTTGTCTTCTCTGGGACCCGATTTACTCAACCACAAAATAGGACCATTTTACAGGCTGTGGAGCCAAGTGGACAGATGACGTTGGCAATCACTGCCCATGCATTAAATGAATAAATGCCTGGGCTTTGAATTCAGCAAAGTGCTGCACATGTGGCTACTGTTACTTAAGAAGCGACTGATGCCTTTCCTGAACCTGATCAGACTTTGAATTTTGGTGCTGATGTCACCTAGCTCTATGGACATTGCTATTACTGCTCCTTTCTTAGTCTCAGTTCCTCCATCTATAAAACAGGAACTGTAAACATATCTCCTACACAAACTTGTGATGGGAATTAAGGAGGATTAAATACAAGCACACGGAGAAGGGGCTTAGTGTAAGATCTGCTTTGTAATGAGTCTCCGATAGGTGAAAGCTTTATTCATGGTCACTTGGTGTTTCCATTGTACCAGCATTTGGTGTTTGTGTCTCTGGCCAGCTCTTGGAAAGTTTAAGTGGGGTGATGGAGTAGATGTTTTGCATGCTCCCCAACTCAAGGTTTCTACCAGTGGTAAACAGATTCAGGGAGAACTAACGGTGCTTTGTGGGGAGGGACACACTTAGCAAATCCAGGGGCAATCATCGAGCCCAATGGAAGATGAAAGCTGGCTTAGAACATTCAGGAAAACCAAGTTACATTTTCATTTTGGTGGGAACTGACGCCCAGAAACACAAAGATGGAGCCTGACTTAATCCAGGAAGCAGTTCGAAGCCTGGCTGTGGAAGAGGAAAGCTAAACAAGTAGCAAGAATTTGCAAGATTCCTACCTGTGCCTTCTTTTTTTGGAGAATGACCTGTTTGAAGAGAGAAAAGGTGGAGGGGTGGGAGCAAGGAAGGATAGAAGAAAAGAGAAGGGAGAAAGAAAAGGAGAAAAAAAGGGATAGAAGAAAAGGGAAGCAAGAAGGAGAAAAGAAGGAAAAGGAGAGAATAAATATGGGTGAGTTTGGGATTCTGCTGCTGGGACGAATACATCATTGTGTTTAGGATTATGCTACCCGGGGATCAGGACCTTCAGCCAATTCTCCACCTCTATAATATTAATAATAACGTGGAGATGACATGCAAATTATGTTCAGGCCAAAGCTAACCAGTGCTCCAATCCTCACCCAAAATTGTTCAGCAAGCATGTTCTGGATGAGGTTAGATGAGGGGACCATAAAACCATCCTCTGCCTCCTCTTCTCCCTCTCACCTTCTCTCTTCTTCATTGGGGTTATTTCTGCCCCCACCCCTCCTCCTCCTCATCATGAGAACCCCAGCTTCCCTACATGGAACTCTTACTACGTGCCAGGTTCTGTGTTAAGCACTCACCATGCACAACTTTTTTTCGATCTTCTCTCACACAGCAGAGCACTGTTAATAAATACCTTTCCAGACAAATACACTGAAGCTCACAAAAATGTTAGCAAGTTGCCCAAAGTCTTATGGCTTCACCAGCACAGTTCTACTCCTCCAGAACTCCCCTCTGATCTCCTTTTCTCACTGTAGCATTCCCTAGCATTTTCTGAGTCCCTGAGACTGGCCAACACCTTCTCGCTGGTTCTTCAATCCCCAGGTGAGGTTCTAAACCTGTCCTTATCAGGGAACAGTCTTCTGCCTATTATGATCACCCATTTCCCCCACTAACACGTGAGCACTTGGAGGGCAGGAGCTGGGTTTTGGTTACTGTTCTGTTTTGGGGGCTGGAATCTTCATTCATGATACTATAATGGGTGCTTGATAAAGAGATATGAAAATGAGATTTTCAATAAACCCTCAAGCTTTGTTAATTAAGAGAAGGACAAACCTCCATGCTTCCCCTATCCCTAGCTCCAACTTCCAAGAAAAAAAATCTACCATCATTAACCAAGACCAAGTATGTTATGAAAGTAGAGAAGCTGGACCAGGAGCAGGGAGGTGCTCAATAGGTGAGGGCTTGGGAAGGACCTGCAATTTCCCATCATTTCTGTCTTACGATCCCCTTCCTGTCTAAAGTTCCAATCCCTTGACTGCTGTAGTGGGCAGAGAGGGCCTATTTCTAAACCTCTGGCAAATCTGTATCACAAGAAGGAACTCTTTGGTGAGAAGCCATCTGGCTTCCAGGATCCTCATATAGAAAAGTCCCTCAAACTGGTAGGGATTGTTCAGCCTGAGAAGGTGAAAAGATGTCAGTCTACACTCATAGGCATGACCTTGACTCTACTATCATGGGCTCTATGGTAGAAAGATTTCCAACAGCAAATTGGCAAGATTTCACTAATTGCTTAAGTCTCATATTCATTCACTAATTTTTTCATGTGTTGTATGAAGCACAAACTCATTATCCACAGAAAAGTCTGGGCAGGTAGTGGACATAACCATTGAGATCAGTGTGAGTTTGAGACATTCTAACAACACAGGCCAAGAGAAGAGCAAACCCTTGGCTTGGGAAAAGCCACATTGTGGACCCTCTGATTTGGGCTTCAGCAGCAGAGGGAAAACCCAATGATTTCTTACCTTTGATTCCATGCTTGTTCTATTGTACAAATCATTCACAACTCAAGCAGCAGAATTAGAAGATAAATAAGCAAAATAAAATATACACATTTTCCTATTATCCACAGCTAACCAGAGGGCTTGGAAAATGTGTGTCAGTGGGGATAATAAGATGGAGGGCTGCTCCTTCTGAATGCACAGTAGCAACTTGGTGTCAAGTGATGGCTGCCTGTGGGAAATGGCCCATGAAGACAGAACTTCCTGTACAGAGGAACTGTGACACGGGATTTTCACACTGCAAAATCTCCGATTACAGAGTGTTGGCTTGGCCTGTGAACCATGAATTGGAGCCCTCTAGTGTCTATCCTTCTATCTCCCCACCTCCAGACACACATGCACATGTGGTATAGTGGACACTCTCTTCCAGGTCATAACGCCCTGCTCCCCACCCAAAGAGGTGAACCATGCAGCAGCCGTGTTTCCAACATTGTCCCACCCGCTGTGAAGCAGATGGACCCCCCAGAGGCCTTTTCTTGGGAATTTGGAATAAAAAAAAGATGGGGAGTTCAAGGTCTGCTTGTGACTTAACCTTCAACAGAGAGATGGAACAGGGAGCAGCCTTGCCCCCTTCCCATGGACCAGGAAGCAGAGGAAACTCGGATCTGCTTGACTTCTGTTAGCTCTCCACTCCATGGTCCCAGCCCCTTACTCAGGCCTGCCTGGTCCCTGAGATGCTCCTGCTTTCTTCTAATCAAGTCTCTTCAGGCCCCAGTTAGCTCTAGCTACTCTGGTCCTCCCAAATACAGCTCTGACTTCGGTATGATACAAATAAAAACAAAACATAGATATAACGTATCTGCTACAATAAATGACACGAAATGCTTCCAAATGACCTTTTGATGCCTCAACCTCTATCCAGCCTGGGACAGCTCTGTCTACAGAAGGGGAAGGATGATACCTGTGTCGCTTATGTTTCTTGGAACTTTTCTTCTTCTTTTTCTTGACAGGTGATGGGCTATAGGATGGGGACCTGTGGGGAGGAAGGCATACATCATAGGGAGATCTCTCCAGTCCCTTTCCCAGACCCTATCTAGGACCTTGGCTCTTTGGGAATCACCCGTCAAGGATAATCTCAATCCCGACAGTAGCTTGCATTTGTTTTAACTATTACCAAGTACTTTATATGCATTATTTCAGGTAATTCCTCCACATACTTGTTAGGTAGATAAATTGCCACCCTGCACTTTTAGACAATGAAAGTGAGGTTCAGAGAAGTGAACTGACCTTCCTAGAAATGCACAGCTAACCAGGGCATGAGGTGAGATCCAAGTGGAAATTTCCCTCTCATCTTAAGGATTTTGCTCTCCTGGTCGGCTATGATTCTCGTCACATATTCTGTGGGTCTCCCCTCTCTCTCAACTTATCTCCCCTCCAATAAGACTGAGCCCCTGAACAGGGTCTCACCAAGCAGTCACAGCATGGCTGCCTGGGTTCCCTGAGATACCCTAAGGTCGTGGTGCCCTAAGCTCATGGTGATGACTCAGTGACTCGAGCTCAAATTCTGACTATCACCGACTCACAGAGTCACCTTGGGCATAGGACGGCCTGTTCCTAGTTCTGTTATTTCCCCCCGTAACAAAAGAGTGGGGTTGGAATGAATGCTGCAAACTCAAATGTCCATGGAAGCCTCTCCAATAAGAAATAAACAAAGTAGACTTGGTGGAAGACATTAGGGAGTGACAGAGACTGCAAAGAACCAGACAGCAGCTGATGGAGGGGTGGCTGCTTCTCTAATCAGCCTCAGATCTGGTGTGGGAACACAGGCCTTGAGTTTCCAAAGCACCTGCCCTTTCAAAAGAAGCCTCCAGACATCCATAATTTTACATGATATCTCCTGGTTTTTAAATTTTAACCACTAATTAAAAAGAAAAAAACAAAACTCTTTGCAGGTCAAACAAAATATGTCATCAGAGAAAATGGTGGAGTAACTTTTCCCTTAAGGAATCAAGATGTCTGCCCCCAAACACGTGCTCAGTGAGCATTTAGGATTTCTGTGCGCTTCCACCAACTCCTCAAATCAGGGTCCTCACTCAGCTTCCCTCTGGGTCCTCTCTGGGCTTGTCCTTTTCAAATTAGATTTAAAGGGGTGTCCTGGAGGCAGGGTTCCAGAAAAACCTAAAATTGAGGCCCAAATGGTTCAGACACTGCTCTCTGCTGCCCTCTGCAGACTTCTATAAATACTATGTCCAAGGTTTGATGTCATTCTCAACTGGAGGCCCTAAGGGATAAAGAAAGCCCAGACCTCTGGGGCTGAAACACTGGACATGTTTTTAATCTAATGAGTGGCAACCCACAAGCAAAGCTCAAAATCTTTTAAATGCAAAAAAATTGAGAAGAAATTGTGTATTGAGAACAATATATAGAATACAAAAGAGTCCCTAGCAGGCAAATAATATAAAGTCCACCCATTATTCTAGGCGTTTAGCCTGGGAGGTAGACGTAGTGAAAGCAACTGAGGATCCTGGGAGTCAAGTCCCTGCAGATTCCAAGTCTTTCTGTTTTCATCTCTAAAATGGGAATTACAATGCTTGACTGGTAGATCCTGGTCAGGAGTAAAAGAGATAATGGAGATCAGAGTGCTTAGCATAATCCTTTGCATGAAGCAAGACTGAAAAAAAAAAAATCAGTATTTCTGGTAATAACTTTACTCCATATTAATTGGTCATTTACTATGTGCCTGGCACTGTGACAGCTGTTGCCACGTCCATTTCTCATCGAACGCTCCCAGAACCCCATGTGGCAGCTACTGTTACTATTCTGCAGAAAAAAAAAAAAAAAAAAAAAGG